GCTCGTGTTACTTGGGGGGGTACTAGGGGGCACAGGGGGTTGCTGGGAAGTGCTGGGGGGCACTGGGGGGTACTAGGAAATACTGGGGGGTCCTGGGGTGGTGTGGAGTGCACGCCGCGACGATGCCATACGGTTTGATGAAATTACCTCACAGCCTTCGCAGCCTTTGCTGCCTGTTGGCGGTGAGCAAGAGCCTTGGGCGACAGTCCCTGATGCTCATTACGAAGGTACGCCTGTCTGCTACCTGAGACTGTGTGCGTACAAAGCTCTCTAACATGTGGTCTCACATTTCCACTACTGTAATACCCGCAACTGGAGCAGAGCAATATCGTGCAAATGCGTGCACATATCGTGCACATATTCGCGAAACACCATATCGTGGGAATCGTGCACACAGACTCCCCCAAATCATAAATGCCGACCATTGGGGTGATGCAACACGTCACCAACTCCAGGGGTGAGAAAACAACTTGTGCTTTCCCACATTCAACAAATGTGGCTGCCGTGGCAAACCCGCGACACCGAACACAGGATATCCCGTCTTCGCCCCAAATATGGGCGGTCTCGACGACCGCTCGGGAGGTGAGAGGGGAATTTTGGAATTGCGTCCTGATTCGCCGAGGGGGCGGTCAGCTTGGTGCGGCACTCGCTAGCAACTGGCAGAAACACGCGGCATCTAGCAACAGCGGGGCGCCAAGGAGAAATTGCTCCTCCCAACCTAGCCCCCATACCACCCCCATATCGTCGGAAGGCGCTCAAGGCGCATCACAACGCAGCAGGAGGAGGGAGGAGAGGAGGCCCCGCCTGCGACGAAACCACGGTCGGGGATGTCGCTGGGTGAGCCTGCGCCGAGATCAAGGGACTCCAAGCCAGCGCACAACAACCGACGCCGAACAAGAAGAGGCCCCTATTTCCACCTGACACACTCTAGCACGATCATGCTGAGACAATCTTGCACGGGCAGCGGCCTGCCCCGCAAGTTCGTCAGCACAAGTGTTCCCGATCGCGAGAAACTCTGGCACCTTCTTCCTCCTGGTATCCTCTCAATCTTGATGGGAAGCGGCTTTGAAGATGGTTATGCGTGACGTGCCACGTCCAGAACCCCGAATCTGAATCCGAATCAGATCCCACACGCCCTTTCTGACACCAGAAAATTTGACGTACATGTGGGAATACCAACCGTCGGCGACCGCAGCATCATCTGAAACATGAAGATGCTGCTCAGACGAGGATGCGAAAGCCAGCACAAGCGTGTAGAGTTCTCCACGAGGTATAACGTGTTTCCGTCCAGGGAGGGCGCCGGAAACGAAAGAGCGGATGGCGGGGTGGATCAGGACAAGCAAGCGTGCAAACGGCGACGCCGACACGGCGAAATCTGGCTTCATGAGCTTCCGGCTCCCCGCTGGCATCTCTAAGAGCAACCGCAGGGTGGTCTGGGCGACCACGACCGAGAGTGCAACTGTTGAGGTTCGGGGCTGGGGTGCACCTGTCAGTAGCCATGCCCTTCCAATGCGTAGCGCGATTTGGAAGAGGAAGAGGAGGAGGAGAGGTCCACTGAAAAAAGGATCCGACCTCGCAGCCAAAAACGGGCTTCGCTCTCACGGGAAGCCACAGCATGGCCGAGAAGTTCGTCGGAATCTGTGAACGCCTTGGCCCCTCGATTGCATTCGCAAAGCAATGACCGATGCAATGGGATCTCTGGGTCTCTATGGCAGCGCAGACACAGAGGATCGATCTTGGCGCGCGCTTCGTCCAAGACACGCCGGCGTGGCCAAAAAACACGCATGGCGAGATTGACCGCGACTTCTGCCACACGGTGTCCGCGGCGATTGCGACGAAAACTCTTCGAATAGACGATAGCTGCGCTGCCATTGCCACCTGGCCCTCAGCGCACTAGTGTTTGGCTGCGCGGGCCCAGCGTTGATTTTGAAACGCAGAAGCAAAATCGCCAGGGAGGTCCGAGAGACCATTGCAGCCCGCGAGGTCGTCCTCGCTGAAGCGCCACGTGAAACCATCGGGCCCTGGACTGCCCCATTCGCTGGGCGCCCGGTTCCCCGCCCGATTTCCACAAGGTAGTTGATGATGGCCGCGGCGGGGCCGCGAATGTGCCTGCTGACTTGATTGGGCGCAGCCAAACCGAGCCTTAAGCCAAGCGAGACGAGCAACATTGCGGATCTCGGGGGCACTGAACCACGTGGAGAGCCAGAGATGCATCGCCCCACGCGGAAACTTGACGCAATATTCCACCCAGGAACACGAAACTTGAAAAGCGCGGTTAAACAACTACCTTAAGCAACACCAGCGAGGCGACAACGAATCTGTTGCCGATAAGCTCCGGAAGCTCCGCTAAATCGCTGCCCGTGCGAAATAACTGCTTGCGCACCCGTTCTAGCGAGCCTGCCAGTGATCGCGTGGTTCTTGGAAGCGCGAGCGAAGCGGCTGATGTGACTGGTCATGGCACGACCCATGACAATGAGCCTGGTGCGAGTCTGGCGGGCAGCTCGTCCACGGCCGAGATCGACGCCTACGTGCGGCGATTTGATAACAATGGGAGCAATGGTACCGCGGCGCTCAAATTCAATAGGAACAGACCGTCTGTCGGCATACCGAGAGCACATAAGCACGCTCTTGGGGGCGGCTAGCACACCAATGTCCTGGCTTCTGGGGCATGCACCCCGAACAACCCGAAACGCGCGCGCGGACAACTCGCCGAGACCCGAGAAAACCGCCGGGGAAAATCGTCGGCCCAAAACTCTCATATACATGCCCACATGTGCGGTCGTGATCTGCAATCTGCGAGAGGATATGGTAAACCACGCAGCTGCCGAAGCGCGCGCCACTCCGGACGCCCTGCACACTACACTGCGGGAGAGGAACGCATCGGAGAAACAGCCGCCTTGGGCCAGGGGCCTCGCTGGCAAGCAATTCTGAAGTTCCAGAGCCAACGCAACACGGGAAAACCTCAAACGCAAGGCGGCCCGAACCAAAGTGGCGCACCCGATGGAATCATGGAACGATTAGGCGTCGATGCGGCCGCGCCTGCTGTCAATGCCAAGTATGAAACATGCTTCGCCTTGAAGCGCGCGAACGGAAGCTGCCCGAGAAGCGGCGCAGGTCTCGAATCGCCGCGCCCCCAGCTGGCTCTGACGAGGGAGTCCAGGCGAGGACGTCTTCTTCACGGGCCAATGACGCCGCGCGAGCGAGCAGGGTCATCAACCAGACCGCCCTGCCCCCCCCTGGCCTATTCGCAAGCAGCCGACCCAGCGCGAGCAGCGCCTGCCGCGGCCGCGCGAGGTCGGCCTCGCACTCGCGATGCAAACTGGTCGAGAGCTCGGGCCCGTCGCCATGCAAGCGCTGGATGCTGAGCGGAGGCTGGCCGACGCCGTGGCCAGCTCGAGGCTTCGTGGCCCTGGCGGCCGCGAGGGCCTGAGCTGGCCTGAGATCGGTCAGCTGCTTGCCTGCGGGGGCGGCGCGGACCTCGGCAAAAATCGCGCAGACCCCGCTGATGTTCGCGTCGGCAGGACTCCAAAGCTTGTGCCATCCTTCCACCTTGCGGTCCGAAATATCCCGAAGCTGAAACACAAACTCTTCCTCCACCGCAAATTCGCGCGGATGGGGGGAGTTGGCGGGGAGGCAGTGGGCAACCCATGGCCTGAAATCCTCGAGACATCTTTGGAGCCCCATTGCGCCTTGCACGCGCAGATACTCGCCCGGCTACCTTGGCGAAGAGGGCCAGATTCTCGACGGAAGCGCCACCGATGCATATAAGGTAAGTTTGCCGCGGCGACCGCGCGCCCGCGCCGAGATCGCGGTTAGCCAATTGGAAAAGCACGCTCTCGGGGCCATCTTGGCCGAGGGCTTTGCGCGCTTGGCTTGGCCCACTTTGCTGTGCTGCTCCATCGCTCGAGTTTATGATGATGTAGATTGCGCAGTGCACTGCGTACTCTGCCCCGCCAGCATGCGACTACGCAGCGACGCGGTTCCTGACGAACCATATCTAGCACGCGCATAAGGGATGCGTGAAAAGATGGACCGTCAGCACGGGGCTCGCCCATGCGCTCGTCCCCAAGATGCACGTGAATCCCATGGTCGACCGTCAACGCCCATTGCTCGCATCAAGCACTGACGCTGAGAATGCGACCCCCCCGCGGCGAAAGCCGCGGAACTGCGCGCAACTGGCCGCGCTTCGTCGCGCTCTCGAGCCAGGGTGAATCCAACTTCCCGCGGCGCACGGCGCCGGAGCTCAGCGGGGGCATGAGGAGGGGGGGGGGGGGAGGGCAGGGGGGGCCTCTGAAATACTGGCCCCGTCAGACGAGGGGTCGGCGCTATCGGGGCTGGGATGAATTTCGGCGTCGCAATCATCTGCCAGACCAGCGGCGAGGAAGGGGTCGGGGTCGGAGGCGGCCGAGGCCGAGGGGGGGGGGGGGGCGAGAAGGGATGCAAGTGACAACGGCGCGCCGAAACATCCGCCGTCGTCGCAACAGCCATCGTTGGCCCCGCCCGTGGCAAAAGCGCGACGCAGAGTCGAGGTTGCGCGACCGGCACTCTGATGGTCGCTTCTTTCGCGCGCAAGCGGGCGAGGTGGCGACGCCCGTCGGCGAGGGGCTGCTGCTCGCATAATTCGAGCCCTCTTGCGGGAGACCCTCTGCCGCGGGACCCGCGGAAGCCCCCGCGCCATCCGAAGCTCGCGACAGAGAAACTGCTGGGCAGACGACCTACGATGCACGACCAGGCCGCAATGAGGACGCCGCGGCAGTCGAGCCGCTCCTCGACCCGCGAGAAGAAGGGCAAGCTGGCCGCACTGGCCAGAACGCAATCGACGTGCGCGCGCACAAGTGCAACCGAGAAGAACCTGGAACACGACTGCGCCAATTTTGTCGAAGAAGCCCGCGTGCCGAAGGGACTGGGCAGGCATCGCTGGCCACCGCCCGCGGCAGGCGACGCTGGGGAGGGGGGGGGGGGGGGGCAAAACACCGATGCGAATGCGACGCTGGAGATTTCTGCTCGAAACACCTTCGTCGCACAATCGGTAACATGAACTAATGATCGTACTATATTCTGCTCAGGACATACTGCAGCAGTGAAGCCGTCAAAGGAGCTTCTGCCGTCCGCTGCAAGGTCGGCGCACGCGCTCTGGGAAGAAACAAAAGAATGTGTTTGCAAATGCTTTCGGGTTCAAATCCAATCGCCGCCCGAATTAGCTTCGGCTTGGCCAGCCGCTGTGGAAGTCGCGCCAGACCTGCGAGCGAGACTTGCGAAAAGTGCCGCGCGCGCCTTGACGGCCGACTCCGTCCAAGGCGCGCGCGCGCTGCGAGAGATTCAGCATGCGCCTCGCAGAAAGGTCGATAACTGTCGGCAGAGGCGCTCTGGTCAGTAAGAAAACCCAGGGCTTTCTTTCCCATCGCCGTGACGCGGGCAAAAAAAGCAACGCCTCACTGGCATCGCCCTCGCTGTCTGCCCCAAGAAGGCCCGGGGGTGATCTCTCAGCGGCTGCCTGGCAAGTGGAGCCCGACCCTGCGAGACCCTCAGAAGACGATGGTATAGCCGTGCCTCGAACGAGTCGCGCTGGCTGCTGTCCTGTGCTATGCCGCGGCGGCGCTGCCGCCTGCTGCTGATGCCGCCGAAGTCGCCCAGCCGCGACCGCCGCCTTCGGCTGCTGCGACTGTCGCTGCCGTCTGCGCCGTGACCTTGGCAGCGCTGATGCGCTGGGCCTCGGCCAGGAGCCTGGCGCGGGCGGCGGCGTCCTCTGCGGCCGCGCCCGCGCTGGGCCTGTCCGAATCCTTCGGGTCGTTGGGTGCGGCGGCCGTCGCTGGAGGAACCTGGTCTCCGCCTGTGCGCAATTTGTCGCCGTCGCCAAGACGTTTCTGGGCGAGCCTGTCCTGGATGATCTTCTGATTGGAGCCCTGGTATCCTCTCCTTGACCTGGGTCGACTTGCCGGCGGGGCTGGAGCGAGTGGACTTCAGATCCTTCTCCAGCTGCTTGAGAATCTCGCGTTCGAGCTCCTCACCCTCTAGGGTATCGATCCGAGCAAAGAACGACTCGTCCCAAGATGCACTGAAGATGTGCTTATCCCCTTGTCCTTGAAAGTGAGCTGACTGGAGCCCGTCTTGCTCGGCAAGTACACGAACTGCGAAACGCTCGGCACGCTCTGCAGGCGCGAGTGCCAACGCCGCTGGAGCTTCGACACCCGCATCATTCGCCGCCGCCGTGGCTCGTCGGAGTGGTTTTTCTGGGGCCAAGGACTCGACCGTGGAGGCGGGCTGGGCTTCCAACTTCTGCGCCAGCGCTGTGAGAAGCTGCTTTAAAACGGCGTCCGTAACCAAAGCGGGGGCCTGTTGGCACGCGGTCTTCTTATCGGTGGGGATGAGCTGGCACGCTTCTCGGGCTGACACGGGGGAAGGGCGAGCTGCCCACCTCTCCTTCATGCCTAAGCTTGTAGAGGTCATTACACGTGTCACACCTGCAATACTCACTGCGGCCTTGCAAGACTGAGTTCCACTCGCAGGTCCCACACTTACCGCCCTTGGTCCAAAAAGTGGGGGCCTTGGCAGTGGCAGCCTTGGCCTTCTGAGCACCTTTCTTAGCCATCGATCTCTCTCGCCTCCTTCGCCAACCAGGGGCAACAATCAACACAATGTGGGATTGCCGCGCTGCTGCCCCTCAAGCGCAACGTGGAAGCGAGGCGAAACAACTCGAAAACCACAAACGCACGGGGGCGCGGCTCTCGAGCCGAAGTGGCTTGAGTACTGGGGGTTACTGGGGGGCCCTGAAGGCTGCTGGGGGGCCCTGGGGGATACTGGCGGGCATTGGAGGGTACACTGGGGGACCTTGGGGGATACTGGAAAGTCCTGGGGGGTACTGGGGGGTGCTGGGCGGTACTGGGGGGTATAAAGGGGCACCGGCGAAGGAGGAGGAGGAGGAGTTGGAGAAGGAGGAAGAGGAGGAAGAGGAGGAGGAAGAGGAGGAGGCGGAGGAGGAAAGGGACGAGGAGGACGCGGCCAGGGTCCCGCCTGGCCCCCCAGAGCCCCTCAGTACCCACCAGTACCCACCAGTACCAGAAGCTCGCACAACACCTGGCCTGGGCCCTGCCGTGAATGTATCGGAGACCGTCGTTACCATGCAGATCACAAGTATGCTCCAGCCAGTCGGTCTGCGATTCGGGCAGCACGTTCCCTTTTTTGTTGCTGGGGCGGAGCCTCGCGGCAGAACCTTGGCGAGAGCGACGCTGCCGTAGAGCCCATCAACACAATAGGTGCACGGACGCAATTCCGCAACACGTCTATACATCCGACCGACCTCCCGTTCATTGCAGGCATCGGTCGGCGGGGCGGTGGAGTGTGACTCGCGGAGCTGCGGTGAGATGAATGGGAGGAGTTGGAATCAGCAACACTTGTTTATGATGGCCCGGCTGGGGTTGACGGAACCCGTTCGCCACCATTGCTCCTCAAGTGGATGGGACCTGGCGTTTTTCGACAAATGTAGCTTATGTGTGTTCATGCCGCCATGCAAGAAAACGAAACCAACAAAAGCAACACCAATTCTGGTGAATAGTTTAATACTTTTGGCTCTCGTCTGTTCGCGCGTCATTCATATATCTGCCAAGCTTTCGATACCCGCCTTCTTCGTCGTTGGTCGTACCGCCTTTGGGGGTATATGTTCCTTCCCAACCACGTGTATTTGGCGCAGCCCTTGAAACATGACGAACACGAACACATCGAAAAAAAGAGCGAGTCGGAAGTGAGAGAAACAACAACAACAACAACAACAACAACAACAACAACAACAACAACAACAATCACTTTACCCGAACGCTCAGTGTTCTCACCAGTGCCAGGGTTTTCATGCGACGCCAGCCAATACCCCCACTTTGTGGGGGGGCAGTGCAAGCTCTACCAAATATCCACACGACTCTTCGCCACCACCCACACCCAGCTTCCCGCCCTATGACGTTCGGACACTTCACTTCGTGGCCTGCGGACGACCGTGGCTACTACACTGGCGTGGAGTACACACCCACAGAAGTTGTTAAGCCTACGTTCGTACACCCACAGAAGTTGTTAAGCCTTGTTAACCCACAGAAGTTGTTAAGCCTTCCACAGAACATCTGTTGCATATGATGCATATGGTACATGATATGGCGCAACCTATGGCGCAACCGCAAGGGATTGTGGCCCCTGGCAGGCGCGCGAACCCCGTTGCAAGAGCGTGCGAAAGTAGCTCGCGCGAGCTCATGTAACATAAATGTTGGAAAACCATTGGTTTTTTTTAGGATTCGGACAGCGCGCGCGGGTAGAAATTTTGAAAAGTCGTGCAGGTGTTTTTCGAGGACCTACGGTGCGATTCGTGTGATTTTATGATGCGCGGTGCTAAAATTCTTAAGAACCCAATGGTTTTTGGAGATTTCGGCGTGCGCGCGCGAAGAAAAAACGAATGTGTCCCGCATGGTATTATTTGACAGGGATGATGGCCCTGGCAGGTGCGCAACCGTTGTCGCAGAAGTTCGAAAAAGTTGCTCGCAAAAGCCCGTTTGACAGAAATGTTTAAAAAGTGTTGGGTTTCCTACGAATCCGCAAGAGCGCGCGGGATGAGATTTTGACATTTTTTTGTTGAAAAACCATTGGTTTTTTGATGTTTTTATGTTAAAATCGCTCCGAACACTAAGCTTTTGGAAGGATTTCGTCTTGCGCGCGCGAATGTCCACTTTACCTTATTTTTTGCAAGGGATTCTTGAAATTTGATTATATTAGAACAAGAAATGTCATTTTATAGTGTTTTTTGCAAGGGAAAACGGATTACAACAAAACAACCGGATCTGGACCCCATCCACTTTTCTGAAGCTTTCGCGAAAAAATGATGAAAATGTAGCTGCGGCCTAGGCGCGGCGGGGGGGCCGTGCACCAGGGGTCCCAACAATAATTATTCTTTAGAATTAATAATGTTCAACAACAACAACAACAACAACAACGACAACGACAACAACAACAACAACAGCAACAACAACAACAACAGCAACAACAACTACAACAACAACAATAACAACAACAACAATAATACACCGAACGCTCAGTGTTCTCACCAGTGCCAGGGTTTTCATGCGACGCCAGCCAATACCCCCACTTTGTGGGGGGGCCGGTTCAAGCTCTACCAAATTTCCAAACGACTCTTCGCCACCACCCACACCCAGCTTCCCGCCCTATGACGTTCGGACACTTCACTTCGTGGCATGCGGACGACCGTGGCTACTATTCAGGGCCCCGCGGCCGACGACGACGGCGTGCGCGCGCGAAGAAAAAACGAATGTGTCCCGCATGGTATTATTTGACAGGGATGATGGCCCTGGCAGGTGCGCAACCGTTGTCGCAGAAGTTCGAAAAAGTTGCTCGCAAAAGCCCGTTTGACAGAAATGTTTAAAAAGTGTTGGTTTTCCTACGAATCCGCAAGAGCGCGCGGGATGAGATTTTGACATTTTTTTGTTGAAAAACCATTGGTTTTTTGATGTTTTTATGTTAAAATCGCTCCGAACACTAAGCTTTTGGAAGGATTTCGTCTTGCGCGCGCGAATGTCCACTTTACCTTATTTTTTGCAAGGGATTCTTGAAATTTGATTATATTAGAACAAGAAATGTCATTTTATAGTGTTTTTTGCAAGGGAAAACGGATTACAACAAAACAACCGGATCTGGACCCCATCCACTTTTCTGAAGCTTTCGCGAAAAAATGATGAAAATGTAGCTGCGGCCTAGGCGCGGCGGGGGGGCCGTGCACCAGGGGTCCCAACAATAATTATTCTTTAGAATTAATAATGTTCAACAACAACAAAGACAACAACAGCAACAACAACAACAAACAATTAAAGCTGTTCCATCCTTCTCGGCTCGCGCGCCAATCAGCATGTATACCCCAAACCTTCGGCACCCGCCCTCCCTGTCCTCGATCGTACCCCCCTAGCGGCAGATCGTCCTTACCTGCGACCTGTAGCTGGCGCAGCCCCGAGAACAGGAAGAGGAGGGAGACAGGACAACACGGATAGCGGGATAGCGAGAAGGTAAGGAGTGCGGGAAGGGAGGGGGGAGGGCAGGGGCACGGTGGAGGGAGAAGGATGGAGTCCCAGAGACATATTAGCAGGAAGGGGGTCAGGAACAGTCGGGTCGGGCGAAAGGGGGGAATAGCAAAGGGGGGGGGTGAGAATCAGCTCACGTAGCTGATTTTCCCGGCGCCTCCTGGCGCCGGAGGCGGCTATGTATCGAGGAATGGGCCCCTCGGTGGGGCCGAAACCAGCTGCATGCAGCAAGTTTCGTAACCCCCCCTTTCCCAATCCCCCCCTTTCGTCCGGCCCGAAAGAGAAAAACAAGCAACCGAACCGGATGGGCGGATCGGGCGGGCGGACCGTGCCGGGAGGGTCGTGCGGGCCCAAACGGTCGATTCGACGGGGGGGTCGCTGAAGCGTCAGTCCTGCCACGAATCGCGAGGAAGGCCATAGCGACACCGCAATTCCCAGCAATGACCCCCCAGGAGGCCTCAGTGCCCAGGCCACCCCAGTACCCCCCAGTACCCCCCAGTACCCCACTCTGCCCCCCAGTACTCCCCAGCACTCCCCAGTACCCCCCAAGGCCCCCCCTATACTACCAGTGCCCCCCAGTACCCCCCAGCATCCCCCAGTTCCCCCCGGGGGCTCCCCAGTACCCCCCAGGACCCCCCCCTACCCCTCGGTACCCCCAAACACCCCCAGCACACTCATCCTCCTCATATTCCTCCTCCTCCTCCACCTCCTCGTTCCTGCCTCCGTCCTCCTTCGTCCTTCCAAATACCGTACCGATGCCGCCCATACACCGTACTGGTACCAATATCGCGGCGTCCCGCTACCTCGTTCCTGCCTGCGTTTCCTTTCGTCCTTCCACTAACCGTACCGGTGCCACCCGTGATCCTGGTATACTATTCCGGAGGCGCGCAATCCCAGCACAATATTGGTACTGGTATCGCGGAGTCCCGCTACCGTACCAGCAATTCCGGTACTGGCGGCAGTAACTGGGCACAGCTAACTGTACGGGTACTGCGTGCTCGTGCCGTACCGTGGCCATGATGTCTCTCGGAGCCGGTTGGGAGCTTTTTGGGGTCTCTTGGGGGCTTCACGGGGGCCTCCTGGGGTCTCCTGCTGGGGGCATCTCAATGAATTCTTTCAAACCTCCCAGGGGCCTCTTGGGGCCTGTTTGGGCCTGCTGGCGGCCTCGGGGGTCATCTTTGGGCGGAGTGCCCGATATGGCAGTTCGGGTTCCCCTCTGGGGCCCCTCTCAGGCCCTCTTGGGCAGTCTTCGGAGCTTCTCAATCCGTCTTGGGGCCCTCATGGGCCGTCTAAGGGCCTTCTGGGCCTCTTGGGCAATCGCGGGATGATTTCGGGAATCTCTTGGGTCGTTTTGGACCGCATTGAAGCCAACACGCCCATACGCATGCGAGAAACCACATTTGCCTAAAAGAACGGAGCCATGTGGGCGTCCCGGGGCCCTCTTGGGGATCCTCTTGGAACTGTGTTGAAGAGTCGTGGACGCTTCTTGGGCCGTTTGGAACGCATCTGGGGCCGTCGGAGACTCCTTGAGGGCGTCGTGGGGCCCATAAGGAACCCCCGCCTGAACCCAAGCCAATCAAAAAACAATGCAATTCCTGAGGCTGGGGGAAGGTATTCCTGGAACTTCCAACTTCTAGGTCGAAGCTGATTTCGAGAGGGCAGCGACGCCCAGGAGCGGAGACAGAGGGCC